CACTGACACACAACACACACTACAACACTGACACACAGCACTTTTTTTATAGTGGGGGGGGGGGCAAAACCCCTGTAAGTTTTTTCGTCATCTGTGTCACATTGGAGACATTTCCCTTAACTTCCTGTCTGATAGCCACAACAGGAAGTGCATGCAAATCCCTCCAAAGAGAAGGAACCACTGGTGGTCACCAGAACTCGTGTCCCCATGTGAGGATTTCCCATCTGTTCCTGTTTTGGTGTATACAGAGGTCTGGACTATAGACCGGCTCAGCAAGTTTCCTGACTAGAGCTGAGCTCAGGTTCTGACCGAACGTCCACAAAGCCATACCAAATGTAGGCGTGTAGCTGTATAAGGTCAATGCATCAGGTTTGTAAGAGCTTAGGTCCAAATTGGGTCCGGAGGAGCTCAGGTTCGAATAGGGTTCAGAGGAGGTCAGGATTGGATCGGGATCGGAGGAGCTCAGGTTTGGATCGGGTTCAGAGGAGCTCCAGTTTGGATCGGGTTCAGAGGAGCTCAGGTTTGGATCGGGTTCAGAGGAGCTCCAGTTTGGATCGGGTTCAGACGAGCTCCAGTTTGGATCGGGTTCAGAGGTGCTCCGGTTTGGATCGGGTTCGGAGGAGCTCATGTTTGCATCAGGTTTGGAGGAGCTTAGGTTTGGATTGGGTTCAGAGGGGCTCAGGTGTGAATTGGGTTCAGAGGAGCTCAGGTGTGAATCGGGTTCAGAGGAGCTCAGGTGTCAATCGGGTTCAGAGGAGCTCCAGTTTGGATCAGGTTCAGAGGCGCTCCAGTTTGGATCGGGTTCAGAGGGGCTCAGCTTTGCATCGGGTTTGGAGGAGCTTAGGTTTGGATCGGGATCGGAGGGGTTCAGGTTTGGATCGGGTTCAAAGGAGCTCAGGTGTGAATCGGGTTCAGAGGAGCTCCAGTTTGTATCGGGTTCAGAGGAGCTCCAGTTTGGATTGGGTTTGGAGGAGCTCAGGTTTGTATCATGTTCGGAGCGGCTCAGGTTTGGATCGGGTTCAGAGGAGCTCAGGTTTGGATCGGGTTCAGAGGAGCTCCAGTTTGGATTGGGTTTGGAGGAGCTCAGGTTTGGATCGGGTTCAGAGGAGCTCCAGTTTGGATTGGGTTTGGAGGAGCTCAGGTTTGGATCGGGTTCAGAGGAGCTCCAGTTTGGATTGGGTTTGGAGGAGCTCAGGTTTGGATCGGGTTCAGAGGAGCTCCAGTTTGGATTGGGTTTGGAGGAGCTCAGGTTTGGATCGGGTTCAGAGGAGCTCCAGTTTGGATTGGGTTTGGAGGAGCTCAGGTTTGGATCGGGTTCAGAGGAGCTCCAGTTTGGATTGGGTTTGGAGGAGCTCAGGTTTGGATCGTGTTTGGAGGAGCTCCAGTTTTGATTGGGTTTAGAGGCGCTCCGGTTTGGATCGTGTTCGGAGGGGCTCAGGTTTGGATCGTGTTCGGAGGAGTTCCAGTTTGGATCGGGTTTGGAGGAGCTCAGGTTTGGATCGTGTTCGGAGGAGCTCCAGTTTGGATCGGGTTTGGAGGAGCTCAGGTTTGGATCGGGTTCGGAGGGGCTCAGGTTTGGATTGGGTTTGGAGGAGCTCCAGTTTTGATTGGGTTTAGAGGCGCTCCGGGTTGTATCGTGTTCGGAGGGGCTCAGGTTTGGATCGGGTTTGGAGGAGCTCAGGTTTGGATCGGGTTCGGAGGGGCTCAGGTTTGGATCGGGTTTGGAGGGGCTCAGGTTGGGATCGGGTTTGGAGGAGCTCCAGTTTTGATTGGGTTTAGAGGCGCTCCGGTTTGTATCGTGTTCGGAGGGGCTCAGGTTTGGATCGGGTTAGGTTCGGAGGGGCTCAGGTTTGGATCGGGTTTGGAGGGGCTCAGGTTGGGATCGGGTTTGGAGGAGCTCCAGTTTTGATTGGGTTTAGAGGCGCTCCGGTTTGTATCGTGTTCGGAGGGGCTCAGGTTTGGATCGGGTTCGGAGGAGCTCAGGTTTGGATTCGGGTTTGGAGGAGCTCCGGTTTGTATCGTGCTCGGAGGGGCTCAGGTTTGGATCGGGTTCGGAGGAGCTCAGGTTTGGATTCGGGTTTGGAGGAGCTCAGGTTTGGATCGTGTTCGGAGGAGCTCAGGTTTGGATTCGGGTTTGGAGGAGCTCAGGTTTGGATCGGGTTTGGAGGAGCTCAGGTTTGGATCGGCTTTGGAGGAGCTCAGGTTTGGATTCGGGTTTGGAGGAGCTCAGGTTTGGATCGGGTTCGGAGGGGCTCAGGTTTGGATCGGGTTTGGAGGAGCTCAGGTTTGGAGGAGCTCAGGTTTGGAGGAGCTCAGGTTTGGAGGAGCTATGGTTTGGATTCGGGTTCGGAGGAGCTCAGGTTTGGAGGAGCTCAGGTTTGGAGGAGCTATGGTTTGGATTCGGGTTCGGAGGGGCTCAGGTTTGGATTCGGGTTTGGAGGAGCTCAGGTTTGGAGGGGCTCAGGTTTGTATCGTGTTTGGAGGGGCTCAGGTTTGGAGGAGCTATGGTTTGGATTCGGGTTTGGAGGAGCTCAGGTTTGGATCGGGTTTGGAGGAGCTCAGGTTTGTATCGTGTTTGGAGGGGCTCAGGTTTGGATTCGGGTTTGGAGGAGCTCAGGTTTGGATTCGGGTTTGGAGGAGCTCAGGTTTGGATCGCGTTCGGAGGGGCTCAGGTTTGGATCGGGTTCGGAGGAGCTCAGGTTTGGATGGGGTTCAGATCTCCGGCATCCCCTCATACACTGAAATATCAGTTCTGGGTGGAGTGATGGATCACTGAACATGAGTAAGCAGGAAAGTCTCTTCTGATAGTCAGGCCTGGCAGGGGGAGACATTTCTGGGGTCAGGAATCCGTCCTCTCTTGTTGCTGTACTGATGCTGGGAAATCCGTGTATTGCAGTATTATCAGACATGAGCAGTAGATCGATGTCAGCAGAGGGGAGGGGAGGTGATATCAGACATGAGCAGTAGATGTCAGCAGAGGGGCGGTGAGGTGATGCAATACCAGACATGAGTGGTAGATGTCAGCAGAGGGGCGCTGAGGTGATGCAATACCAGACATGAGCAGTAGATGTCAGCAGAGGGGTGGCGAGGTGATTTAATACCAGACATGAGCAGTAGATGTCAGCAGAGGGGCGCTGAGAGGGAGTGGGTGTCAGCAGAGGGGGGCGGAGGTGATGTAATACCAGACATGAGCAGTAGATGTCAGCAGAGAGGCGCTGAGGTGATTTAATACCAGACATGAGCAGTAGATGTCAGCAGAGGGGCGCTGAGGTGATGTAATACCAGACATGAGCAGTAGATGTCAGCAGAGGGGTGGCGTGGCCCTGCAGTGCCAGGTTTGTCCGGCGGGAGTCACTAGTGGGGGCGTGACCGGAAGTGACGCAGTGAAGCTGCTCGGGGTCGGGAGCCATTAGCTGCTGCACGCTGCATGACTGCCCTCATCTCCCTCTGCCACCCCGCGGGAGACCGACTGACCGGAGCTTCGGTGAGTTTGCAACGGGGGGGAGGGGAACGATCGTATCGGTGTAATCTCCGGGGACCGAGCACAGCCGGCAGTGTGCGCGGACTCAGCAACCCGGCCACATGTGTGCGCGCGCGGAGGTTCCCGGCACGGCCCGCGCGGACTGATATGGACCGATCCGGTCTGTACCATCTGTGGCGGTTCACCTTCCGGTATTTCTATGAGGGGATTAAACAATCATATGTTTAGTGGGGGGTCGCTGTGAATGCCGTACGGTGGGGGAGGGGTATCTGGTCACCAATTTAAGAGGAACCTGGGATCGTCCAATCAGGTTTCAGCTTTTATTTTTGGGGGGGAGCAGACAGTGAAATCTGATTGGTCGCTGTGGGAAGTCTCCCCGGTTTCAGTTTGGGTTGTTGTGTATGGTGGTTCTCTGCCCAGCCCTCCCATTGTTGCCATGGTAACGGTAGGGCTCCCCCATGACGCGGCATTATCACAGGACAGGTTTTCTTTTATATGGGATCTCCGTCCAATCAGATTGTCCGACGCGGCTGGACTACAGAGCGTATGCCGACCTCTGATTGGACGCCGGAGCTCATCAGATGGTGCCGACACACTGTTGCCGCGGCAGCGATGGAAGCGCCGCCATGGACGCCTGCGGTCCCCCATCTTCTGGAGGCTGCGCTCAGTCACATGACGTGCGGAGCGTCCATTATAGGTGGTGTTTACCCGTCTTCAGTACAGCGCAGGCATGGCGGCCGGGCGCGGTGTATAGAGATCGTCCAATCGTCGCTCCGCGTCTCATGTCTCCGTTTCCCTCTTGGGGCGGAGTCAGCTGACCGCTGTGTGCGATTGGGGCGGAGACTAAGTTTGTACAAACCGCTCCTTCACATGCTCCGCCCTTTGTTTCCTCTGTTTTGAGGTACCACCCCCTGACCCTCCGTCCCTAACACGCCAACATGGCCATGTGACCCGTCCCTAACACCCCAAAAAGGAGAACTCGGCCAATACAGAGTCTGAAGCCGCCACCTCGGAGTCCTCCTCTTCCTCCTCCCCCTCCTCTTCCCAGGCTGCCTCCACCTGCACCTCGGAGTCCCCAAACTTGGAGCTCAAGGTGGTCCTGAAAGAGGAGCCTGAACCAGAACCCGAGGAGAACCCATCTATGCCGGGTACCGCGGCGACCGCAGTAACACTAGTGACCACAGCAGTGCCAGGTTCCACCGCCCCGACCTCCACCCTCACCGCGCTCCAAGTGAAGGACGCTCTGGTGCTGCAGTCCCTGGGGCCGAGCCCATTCACCGGCAGGAAACGGAAGGCCAACTTCTCCAACGAGGAGACGGAGACTCTGGTGACGTACGTGGTGAAACATTTCAGCGCCCTGTACGGCTCCGAGGCGCTGCGCACCGAGTCCACCCGCAGGAACCAGAGGAGGAGCCAGCTGTGGAGCCAGATCCAGAAGCACGTCAACGAGCTGGGCTACACCCCCCGCAGCATCGACGACCTCAAACACAAGTGGCGAGACCTCCGCCTGGAGGTGAAGAGGAAGATCACCCATCGCAAAACCGCCAACAAGGCGTCCCCAGCTCCCGGGGTCACCCCCATCATAGACACTAAGCTCACCCCATTGGAGGAACAGGTGGCATCTACCATCGGACATCACTGCTCGCTGGACGGAGAACAAGAGGGCCTCTACATCGAGCCCGGTAAGTGAGCACCGCCATGATATCCAGGGGGCGGACATGTCCGCTCTTCTCCTCCATTCACCTCGAGATTGAACGCTGGTCCTTGTGACACGCAATGGGGGGGGAGGGGGGAATCCAGGCCGGGATTGTAGTTCCCGGTATATTTGGGTTTTTCCACCTTCTGGTTCTCCACCAAATCAGCTGTTACCTTGAAGCCGCCCACCTGATGGATCTTCTCCAATCAGCACAGAGTTCCGTTGGAAGCCCCCTGAGGTCCATCAGAGACCTCGGCTTGGTGGCGCCAGTCAGCTGATTTGTGGAGATCCTAAGCGGGAGACCCCATTGTCTAGGTCGGGGGGGGTCATTCCCAACCTCTTTTTAGAATAAATACAAATAATGGGAAGCTGCTCTTGGACAGCCGGTAATTGCCGGAGCGCCATCGGTGGGGGAGGTGCTGGGTGTTAGAGATACGCCCTCAAAAATTCCAAGTTATTATCTCCAACGTTCTAAATCCTGAGGCGGGTGAACCCTAATGGAAGGTTCCGGGAGTAGGAGAGGTCCTATACCCCTTTTTCCAGTGTTCCCCCCTCCCCCTATGAGAAGGCCTCCACCCAGCCGAAGGCTGATCATTTCCTGCACCCTTCTATAGCTCCACCCTCGCCCCTTCCTGGCTCCGCCAGGCCCAGGTCCAGCCTTGGATGGCCAAGGACAGATGGTGACCCCCC